AATATGTAATTATATATGTGTTTTCCGATGGTCTTAGGCGACCTCTGTGAAAGGGTTGTTCAACCCCCAAAGGGGTCCCGACCCACAGTTTGAGAACCGCTGTATTGGAGTTTTATCCTAATGGGGGAGATGGGGCATTAGATTATGCATGGAATACTTGAAGTGGCAAATAGCAGTGTTGGGGGAGGGGTGGGCGGGACGGGGGAGGTGTTGCTTGGTAATGCCACAAACCTACAGGACTTACGGGGTCTTCCAGGCAAAATACAGACTACGGATCAAATCCAGCTGCTGCCCATTCATACCATGAGTATTTACATTTTTAAATGGTTGAAAAAATAAAAACATTTCATGCATATAAAAATTTCATGAAACTCAAACGTTAGTGTCCACAATGCCCATTCTCTTATGCTTATGGCTGCTTTCTAGACACACTGGCAGAATTGAGCTCCATGGAAAATTGGTCAAGGTGAGAGGTTTTTTTAGCAATAAATAAAATTCACAGGTGCCCTGGCCAGTGTGCTCAATGGTTAGAGACCTGGGTGGCTTGCAAAGTTGAAAACATTTTCTATCTTTTCCTTTACAGAAAGTTTGCCGACCTCTGTTCCAGGCCATAAAGTCACATTGTTTTGTTGGTTTGCCCCCTGACACACCCAGAATTGACATATAACCTGATAGCCTAACCGAGAATTCAACCCAAATGTTTACACTGGACAGGTCTAATGGGTCCTATAAGGCAAGGGTACCTACCCATGGAAACCAGAAAAATGTGAAAGGCTTTTCTGAGTTGAAAGTAGGATGGTCCCAGAAGGTTTAATAGGAATGAGTATAATTAAAGATGTTCTCTTTGAAAGAATTATTAGCTGTCTTCTTCTAAAAATGAGAATGAAACTATATCAAAATGGCTACCATCTCTGGTTCCTGGTCAGGACACGTACCCAGGTTGTGGGTTCAATCCCAGGTCAGGGTGGGTACAGGAGGCAACTAATCCATGTTTCTCTCTCACATTGATGTTTCTCTTTCTCTCTCTCTCTCTCTCTCTCTCTCTCTCTCTCTCTCTCCCCCTCCCCCTCTCTAATCAATAAAAACATATCCTTGGGTGAGGATTAAAAAAGACAAATAAAAAAATAAATAAAAGTATTGAACACAAATATCTACTTTTTCCTATCTTTTTCTAGAATTATTCTAACTCCCATTTTATTTAAAAACATATATATACACATACATATATATACATATATATATATATATGTTTGGGGGGACCTACACCTCTTTTATAACAAAACTATAGGCCCTTCCCCTAGAAAAATACACATACACAAAACGTTTGGGTCACAATAGGAGGTTCAGGATTCTCTTGAAGCCTATTAATGGACCCCTAGAAGTCCACAGACCCCAGGATAACCCTTGCTTTAAAAGTATCCTATATAATAAAACCCTAATATGCTAAGTGTCCAGTCGTCCGTTCAACCAATCAAAGCATAATATGCTAATGATATGCTAAGGCCACTCAACTGCTTGCTATGACATGCACTGATCACCAGGGGCAGATGTTCTGCCCATAGGTTAGCCTGCTGCTGGGGTCCGGCCGATCAGGACTGAGTGAGACAGGCCGGACACACCCTGGAGGCCTACCGCAGTCCCTCCCCAGCTGGCCAACCGCCTGCATCCCTCCAGAGCCCCCCAATCATGCACCATTGGGGTCCTGCGGCCTGGCCTGCACCATCTCGCAATCCGAGATGGGGCCCTTCAGGGGATGTCAGAGAGCCGGTTTCAGCCCGATCCTGCAGGCCAGGCTGAGGGACCCCACTGGTGCATGAATTCATGCATCGGGCCTCTAGTATTATAGAAATGCCTACACCATTTCAAAGAGTTCTCTCATCACCCATTATAGTTGCAGAACACTAAAATTAAATAAACATTCAAACTTTCTCAGCTGGACTCTTGTAGTCTCAAAGAAACCAGGAATCGAATGACTTGAGTAAATCACCAAATCTAAGGTCATATAAGTCTAAAGTCCAAATCAGTTTGTCATAGCTTAAAATTTGCTACTTCCTTCTGCTCTGAGATATTGCTAGAAAAGAAAGAAATGTTAGTATGGCCTAGAGCTTGAGTCCTTCCTACTTTAACAGTTTAATTGATTACACACAAAAGAGACTATTCCTAATATTCACCTAAAGATGTTCTTTCACTATATATGATATGAAGAAAAGTCCATTAAAATAATTCTTAAGTGTTCAGCACATAGATCTGCTGACAAAGCAGATTTTTAAAAGTTCATAAAGGCTCAAATTTTGATGTTACCCACCACTTGAGTCAAGAACCTTCAGAAATGTTTATTTTCAGGTATATCTCAAACTTTAAAGTTTTTCCAATCTCTCTTGGTCTTACTACTTTAGAACACTTCTAGAGCTGTCCAACAAAGTTGTAAGTTACAAAAAGGACTTACAAAAGCAGCCAGAATTCCATCTATGAATAGAAGTCTCCTGAAAATTTAACAGTTGCAGGGGGGTAGTGATACTTGTCTATAAACAACATTAAAGATTTTTTTAGATTACTGATTTCAGAGATAGGAAGAGAGAGAGGGAGGGAAAAAAGGACAGAAGGGGGAGAGGGAGAGAAGGAGAGAAAGAGAGAGAGAGAGAGAGAGAGAGAGAGAGAGAGAGAGAGAGAGAGAGAGGATTTGTTGTTCCACTTATTTACGCATTCATTGATTGCTGTTTGTATATACCCAGATTGAACCCACAACCTTGGCTATTGAGACTATGCTCTGAGGTACCCTGCCAGGGCTAATGATTATTTTAAATCACTACATACTGTTTCAAAGTCAACATCATGATCAAAAGTGCCACTTGGGATTGACAGATAATCAATTGATACTTTCAAGTTAAAATTTTTAGTACTTAGGATTTAATTATTTTTAATTAACTCAGAGAGGAAGGGAGGAGAGAGAGACAGAAACATCAATGATGAGAGAGAATCCTTGGTCGGCTGCCTCCAGCACATCCCACACTAGGGATCAGGGACGGAGCCGGGGCAACCTGGGCACGTGAATTGAACCTGGACTCGAACCCTGACCTGGTTCATAGGTCGAAGCTCAACCACTGAGCCCCGCTGGCCGCAGAGGCCCTTAGGATTTAAAGTAATTGTTTTGGTCAGAGAATCTTCCCTCCTTCTGAAAACCAAGACCATGAGCAGGGGACGGAGGCACATGGCAGCCAGTGTGTAGGCCAATAGGATCTCAACGCCTGGGGAGTCCCACGGGGGGGGGGGGGGGGGGGCAGTTAGGGCTCAGAATTTCTCACTTTCCAAAAGGCAAAACGCTAATCCGCTCATCCTTTGGAGGCCTGCTCAAGAGGGTCACTCAAGTTGCGACCTCATAGCGACTGACGAGGACAATCTTCCACGTACTGGTTTCTAACTAGAAGTCCAATTAAGCCCACTTCCCGGGCACACGTCTGCATGAACTCTGCCCTTTGGGACCTGGGAGAAGCGGGAGGATGAACCCCACCTCAGCGAGGACACGGAATCCCCCAGAAGGGCTCCACCCCCCAGAAGGGCTCCACCCCCCAGAAGGGCTCCACCACCCAGAAGGGCTCCATCCCATAGAAGGGCTCCAACCCCCAGAAGGGCTCCATCCCCCAGAAGGGCGCCATCCCCCAGAAGAGCTCCATCCCCCAGAAGGGCTCCACCCCCCAGAAGGGCTCCATCCCATAGAAGGGCGCCATCCCCCAGAAGGGCTCCATCCCCCAGAAGGGCGCCATCCCCCAGAAGAGCTCCATCCCCCAGAAGGGCGCCATCCCCCAGAAGAGCGCCATCCCCCAGAAGGGCTCCACCCCCAGAAGGGCTCCATCCCCCAGAAGGGCTCCACCCCCCAGAAGGGCTCCACCCCATAGAACGGCTCCATCCCCCAGAAGGGCTCCATCCCATAGAAGGGCTCCACCCCCCAGAAGGGCTCCATCCCCCAGAAGAGCTCCATCCCCCTGAAGGGCTCCACCCCCCAGAAGGGCGCCATCCCCCTGAAGGGCTCCAGGGGGCGCGGCCCGGGGCGGGAGAGTAAGTCCTCGCTCGGTACATGCAACCCGGGTTCGAGGCTCGGGACGCGCTGGGGCAGCGCAGCCTGTCCCATCTGACGTCCCCGCAGCGGGCCGCCGGGCGCGCTCCTCCGGGGGCGCCGCTCACCGCCGCAAGGCTGCCCTTGGCCAGAAACTCGCCGACAGGGAATCCAAGTGACTTTTGGGGAGCGATGCCCCCGGACTCCGCAGGGGGCCCCGGAAACGTGTAACTCGACTCGCGAGGCGACGTTTCCCATGAAGCACCGCCCTCCCTTCACTTTCAACTTCCCCTTAAGATGGGACAGGCACAGAGGCTTTTTTTTTAATCCAAGAGAAAAATAAATAAATAAAAGATAAATAGATAAATACGTAAATGATAAGTGAATGATAAATAAATAAATAAAAGCACGCCATCCCCGATCAGCGCCGGGCCGCCAGGTGAGGACGGCGGGCACGGCGCTCCCAGTCCCGCCGCGAACTGCGCCCGGAGCTCCCCAAGTTTCCCCTCCCGACCCCGCCGGGCCCCGGGGAGCAGCAGCGCTCGCCCCCCTCCCGCCTCCCGGGGCCCCGGCCTCCCCGCCCGCTGGCCGCGCCCCGCGCCGGTGCGCGCTGCAGACCCGCCGGCGCGAGAGGCGGAACTTCGCGGGGACCCTCCGCCGCGCCCCGCCCCGCGCCCAGGGGTCCCGGCGCTCCCGCCCCCGGCGCGAGCCCACCCCGCCGCACGCGGAGGCCGCGGCCCCTCCCGGGCAGGCGCGGGCCTCGACCCCGGGCGGCCGCAGCCCCCGCCGCCCCGGCGCCCCGCGAGCTCACCTGGCGGCGGCCGGGGCCTCGGGCGGCCTCCGGGCGGCGGCGGCGGGGCGGCCGGGGGCAGGGGCCGCCCGCGGGCAGGCTCCACGCGCGCCGGCCGGGCCGCCCCGGAGTGGCAGCCGGGGAGCGGGTCCCGCGGCGGCGGCGCGGCTCAGGCGTCGGAGCGGGCGGCCGCGGGCGCCGCCTCCGCCTCCATGCTGTTTACCCGGCTGCATTGTGGGAGTTTGACCTCCGCCGCCAACCGCCGCCTCAGCCCGCGCCGCCGCCGCCGCGCACGCCATGGGAGCCGTGACTGACGGTGAGGCGCCGCCGGCGGCCCCGGCCGCTCCCGGAGCCGGGCCCCCGACCCGGCCGCCCCGCGAGCCCCGGCCGCCGCGGACTCGCCGGCCGCTCCCGAGGCCCCGGCGGGCGGGGGTCGGCCGGGAGCGCACGCGGCGGGGCCCGGAAGGGGCGCGGGCTGCCGGGGACGCGCTGGGCGCTCGTGGGCCCCGGGGAGCCGCGAAGGGGGGACGGGGAGGCCCGCACCCGGGGGCCCGAGGGCGGGCGGCGGGCGGGGAAGGGGACTCGGAGGGCGAGGTTCGGGCCAGCGGGGAGGAGGCGAGGCCGCGACCCGCGACCCGCGAGCGGGGTGTCGGCGCCGCAGAGTGACCCCTGGAGGAGTCGGGACGGAACTCTAGCCCCCGCGGGCTCCAGCGCAGTGAGGTCCGGGCGGGCCCTGGACGGGGTGTAGAGGTTGGGGCCACCTGGGGTGCATCAGGACCATAAGAGATTTGAGTGTGTTTGGCTTGGGTGGGTGCTTTGTCTGCTGGAAGGAAGGCCGGACGAGGTAGAGGCTGGGCTATGGAGAGTTGTGAGGGCCATTGAGGAAGGTGACCGGTTGGAGGAGGGACTCCGAGGGTGGTCTCTGCACTGAGCTGAATAAAACAGCTTGAGGCCTTGAGGAAGGTGGGCAGGCATGATGGGCAATGGAGGGAGGACCTAAGCAGGTATCCAGTTAAGGAGGAAGGAAGTCTGACATCTGGGAAGGGGACATCTAGGGGTGCCTGGTCCCTTTGGAGAGGGAGTGGCTGGTAGTCATAGATATCTGTGGAGGTCACTTCTGAAGAGTTGGGGGTAGACAGGGTCTCCAGGGACCAGGCAGTGGGAGGAAAGTAATAGACACAAGTTTGTGGGTGTGATAAAGCACAGTGAGAGGCGGCGGGGAGATCTCAGAGATCCAGGTACTTCATGGGTAATGGTACGTTTGCTTCATTCCAGTTTCATTGATTCAGTAGACAGTCATTCCACCTGGGCTAGGCTTTGGGATTACAGCCCAGAACCAGCAGGGGAGACCTTTTGCCCTATGAGGTTACAGGCTGGTGGGAAAGACACGGTGGATGATTAGTTTTAAGTGTGGCAACTGTTACCGTAGGGGAAGGACCAGGTTGGGAACTGTAGAAGCATGTAACAAAGATTTCTTTATTCATCCTTGGAGGTCAGAAAGCCTCCCTGAAAAAGTTACCCTTAATCCCCTTATAAATACATGGGCTGGTGTTCCAGGGGGAATGACTTGTGCAAAGGCCCCAAAGTGTTGGAACAGCTCGAAGATGACAAATATTGGCTAGAATTTAGAAAGCTAAGAGCCAGAGATTTCTGAGGGCAATGGGAAACTATGAAAAGTCCCATGTGATCAGATTTGCATTAAAAATAAAAAACACTGCCAGAACCGGTTTGGCTCAGTGGATAGAGCGTCGGCCTGCGGACTGAAGGGTCCCAGGTTCGATTCCGGTCAAGGGCATGTACCTGGGTTGCGGGCACATCCCCAGTGGGAGATGTGCAGGAGGCAGCTGATTGATGTTTCTCTCTCATCGATGTTTCTGGCTCTCTGTCTCTCTCCTTTCCTCTCTGTAAAAAATCAATAAAATATATTTAAAATAAAAAAAATAAAAAACACCACTACACTCTGCTATGTGAAGGATGATGAGAAAAGGGAAAGTGAGGAGTTAAGTCCCCCACCCCAATCTCTAACATTTACATGACATTTATTGTATGTCAAACAGTGTCCTAATTATCCCCACTTGACAGATGAAACGGGGACACAAAGATGTTAAGTAACTTACCCAAGGTTGCATGGGTAGTAAGGTCTAGAGCAGTGATGGCGAACCTATTGAGCTTGGCGTGTCAGCATTTTGAAAAACCCTAACTTAACTCTGGTGCCGTGTCACATATAGAAATTTTTTGATATTTGAAACCATAGCAAAACAAAGACATATTTTTGATATTTATTTTATATATTTAAATGCCATTTAACAAAGACAAATCAACCAAAAAATGAGTTTGCGTGTCACCTCTGACACGCGTGTCATAGGTTCGCCATCACCGGTCTGGAGCAGGAGTGGGGAACCTTTTCTCTGCCAAGGGCTGTTTGTATATTTATAACATCATTCACGGGCCATACAAAATTATCAACTTAAAAATTAGCCTGCTGTGTTTGGTCAAACATGTAATTAACTCACCCCTGATGCCTTGACAGGACCAGACCAAATGATTTTGCAGGCCTTTATAGGGCCCCTGGGCCGGATTGCTCCCCACCCCTGGTCTAGAGCTTGGGCTCAAAACCAGGCAGAATGGCTCCAGAGTTCTTGTCCTTCACCATTCTGATTAATGTCTCAGCTACTACTGCTGTGGTCCTAATACGGGCTAATGGGGGCTCCAGTGAAGAGGGAATGCAGAGGAGTGGACGGGGGGATAGAGATGAGGGGCAGTGTCAGGACTTCAGTGATTGAGTGGATGAGGGAAGGGTCAAGGATTATCCCAGGTGTCTGAGTTGAGTGACTGCTTGTGAGTGCTACTTCTCTATTGAGGAAGAGAACTTCAAAGGAGAGAGAGGTTTTGTCAGGAGATGAGAAGGGAAGATGAGTTCTAGTAAAGTTACTGACTGCAGTCAAGTGCCCCCTACGTCCTGAGAGGCCATCGGCACCACCACTTGCAAGTTGTCTGACCTTGTGCAGGTTAATTAACCTCTCCGAGCCTGGGTTTCATTCTTTGGATGGGCATAATAGTAAAACCTAGGATTAAATGCAATAAAAGTCATAAAGTGCTTTGCACCAAGTCTGATACATAATGTTCAGTAAATAGTATTAAGTGTAAGAGCTGGTTTACTCATCTCTTCTCCGCTTTCCTTAGATGAGAACTGTGCCTTTTCCCTCTAATCTCACGATTGCCCTTCTCTGCTTGGAGATAGCCCGCATATTCTTCAAGACCTACCTCATCTGTCCCCTTTTGTCTTTCCTGGAACCAGTTCATCTTTCACCTGTAACCATGTTATTTCATGTATATTGCTGCTGTGACCCTTAATACTTAACGTATTTAGCTTATTCTAGAAAATATTTAAGGCAACTTACCATAATGAGTAAACACAAAATAAATGGGAGAGGAAGCAGGGCAGAAAGAACATGGAGACCAGGAAAACCAAGAAGTTACAAGTGGGGGTGATCCTCAGAATGCTAGGGTAAAGTCTGCTACATTTACTAGTACAAGAAAGTGACAGTGGCTCTTGTTTCCCTAGCAGTTCATACCAAGAGCTGGTCCATTCTGTGAGCTAGTGTTTATGAGAGAAGGCAGCATTAGATAACCGAGACAAGCCGTTTTTGTGGTTTCGACACTGGAGAAAAGGCTTTGGGGTGCTTTTAAAGAAAAGCCAGTGTCAGATCATCAACTTTCTTTTTAGCACTGAAGACCATTGGGCTGTGTCTTAACACATCATTATTAGGTCAAAGAAGGCTAAATCACAAGTTAGAAAGCTAAAGCCAATAGACTGTGTGGTTTAGGCAAATAGCTTTGCTGGTCTGCGTTAATTCAGAGCAAAAAAAAAATTTTTTTTAATCCTCACTTGAGGATACTTTTCCATTGACTTAGAGAGTGGAAGAGAGAAAGGAGGAGGAAGAAGAAGGTGGTGGGGCGGGAGGGGGCTGAGGGGGGGGGGGTGAAACATTGATGTGAGAGAGACACATCAACTGGTTGCCTCCAGCACAAAGGCTGACTGGGACAGAGATCAAGCTGGCAACTGAGATACATGCCCTTGACCTGGAATCAAACCTGGGACCCCTTGGTCCTCAGGCTGACTCTACCACTGAGCAAACTGACCAGGTTCAGAACAAAGTTTTTTTGCTTGTTTGCTTTAAGGATATGTAGACATGCAGGAAAGAATGAACTACAACTTCTTCAGGCAGTTCTCATTAATGTGGTTTTCTTCAACTGAGATTTTGGTAAAAATCAAGCAGAAGTGAGAGAGATGTGTGATACACCTACAAGTATCTATTGGTTACCTTTTCGGCACGATGCCAGGTGCTGGGTACAGCAGTAAACTGCAGAGGAAGGCCTGACTCCTACTTGAGAGAGAGAAGCAATTGTGTGCAATCAGTCAGTAAATAAGTAATATCTGAAAAAGAACATAATTTCTGAAGTTAATTGAGTTCTGAGAATGAACTAGATGGGATGGAAGAGAGAGTAATGGGGAAGGCGTGCCAGCAACTAGGTAAAATAGGGTGATCAGGTATGGCTGCTCTCAAAAGTGACATTTAATGTGAGCCCTGCAGGGTCAACTCTGAAGACTCTGAGAAAGTACAGTGGGGCCTTGACTTACGAGTTTAATTCGTTTCGTGACGGAGCTCGTAACTCCAATTACTCGTCTGTCAAATCAAAAAGTGAACGAGTGAGACACGTGATGCTGGGCTGATGTTGTGGCGTTCACTGTGACGTTCGCTGCGCCAACTAGCGGTGGGGTGTCTGAAGCTGGCTCGTAACCCGAATTTTAGCTCGCAACTCAAAGCAAAAAATCGGCCGAGAGACAGCTCGTATCTTGAAAAACTCTCGTTAGTCGGGACACTCGTAAGTCAAGACCCCACTGTATTCCAGATAGAGGCAACTGCTAGTGCAGAGGTCTGAGGTGAAAACAAGTTCTTCTCCCCCCAGGGAAAATAAGGGAGGCCGGGTCCAGGCGGAGGTGGGCCAGGAGAGGTGTGACACAGGAGGCGGTTGGAAAAAGTAAATGAGCCTTCCAGGCCATGGAGAGGAGATGAAGTCTTCTGTGGGTACTTGGAAGTGATTGGAGGATTTTAAGCAGTAAAGTTAGTGATCTGATAGATCTTTTAGATCATTCTGGGCCGCTGTGTAGAGAATGGATTCTGGGAAGGCAGAAATGGAGCAGGGAGAGACAAGACAGGTGGGCTTGGATTAGGGTGATGGCAGTGGAGAAGACTGAGAAGTGGGTGGCTTCCATAGCTCCATCATTTTCCTGAAAAGTTCTCAGAGGAGTAC